CAAACGTCGACCTAATAAAATATTATCTCAGCTGATGGGCACAATTTTCTAAACACAGGATTTTCTTTCTTCTCAGGCAGATTAGGTCTTTCCTTGCCTTTCTGCATGGGCGGACCCGGTGTGGTCATGTCCAGTGTGCTGGTCCGGCGTCTGGCCAAAGCTCTGGATATTTGCCTGAACTCTTCTAAGACTGCCCACGAGGATACGGAGCTGGGACGGTGCGTTGTCATGGTAACAGGACAGGGCTGTACCACTGCGTTACAAGTAAGTGAGTAGGACAAAAAACTTGTCCAAAATAAGTTGTCTTCTTTTCCTCATGATGTTGTAATGGTCGTAGTCGTCGTCGTTGTTGATGTTGTTGTTGTCGTCGTTGTTGATTTTGTTGTTGTTGTTGTTGTTGTTGTTGTTGTTGTTGTTGTTGTTGTTGTTGTTGTTGTTGTTGTTTGTTTGTTTGTGATTGTTGCAGGGAAGGAAGGAAGAAATTGTCGACGGAAATCCTGTGGTTTGGGACTTTTGAAGAGTGGATATACTGTTTTTAGACAAGGTCACAAAGCAAGCACATTGGTTTGATAGTTTAGAGGACTGTGGTGTGTACGAATCATCCTCATGGATCTCAGTCGGAAACCTAAAGGAGGGTTCCCAATGGCCTTTTGACATGCATGAATATAAGTCTTAGGTCGCAGAATACCCGATTGGTATCTGCTTATTAACTTCAAACAACTTCCTCGCCTTCGAAGAGAAAAAACCACTATTTTTAGGTGTTTTGCTGAAATAATACTAAACATAATATAAACAATTAAATCCCCAGATGCAAAGCCTTCTCTACCAAAACTATGCTCAGATGAGCGATCCATTCAGCTCTTTCAACAAAGCTTTGGGTAAAAATGAAGACCAAGCGCTGACTCTGCACCCTATCAAAGACCCGCGTTTCGTGTATCGTTTGGAGAACTACTTCAACAATAGGTCTTTACAGGTGAGTGGGCAGATGGAAGTTGGTTCTTTGGCGTGTTCCGCTCTGCTGACTTCTTTTTCAGGGTAACACTACACGTTGCACCTGTTTTGATTCCACATCTTTAGTTCACTACCTGTCCTGTTTTCGCCCCACTTTCTTCAGCCACGATTTTACCCGTTTTGGCCCCACATTTGCACTATAATTTTACTAATTACAATCCGATACTTATTTTCGACCCCCCCTCTCTCTCTCTCTCTCTCTCTCTCTCTCTCTCGCTCTCTCTCTCGCTCTTTCTTTCTCTCTCTTTCTCTCTCCAGCTCTTTCTCTCTCGCTTTTTCTTTCTCTCTTTCTCTCTCTCTCTCTCTCTCTCTCTCTCTCTCTCTCTCTCTCTCTATCTCTCTTTTCATTCTGTTTCTTAGTTCTAAGACAAGCTACGAGACAGTCAATGCGCTTTTCTTTTTGTGGCGTATGTCTCCTGTCACATTACTAACAATCACCTATGGCTCGTGAATTGTTTGCTCTGGGCTGAAAGATGCTACTTAATAACCCCCCCCCCCCCCCATCATCATCATCATCATTATCATCATCAACAACAACAACAACAACAACAACAACAACAACAACAGCAACAACAGTTACCACGAAAACAACAAATGCATTAATGATGTTTTAACAAATAAATAATAATAATAATAATAATAATTCTGTTGGAAGCCATTGCATTCCTTTCCTGTTCCCGCTTTTAGGAGAAGATTTTTTATAGTCCATCGACTATGGATGAAGCTCATCTTTTTTTTGAATATGCAATCACTATGTCATTGTGTTTTATTAATGGCATTATAAAATTAATAGGAGAGCTTTTATACAAAAGTTTCTTTGGTGAATCCACTTAAACTGTTGTATTATCAACACACTATGAAAAACGCGTTTATGGTAATGGTAAAAGAAATAAAGACAAAAAAATATTATAATAGCAAGGACAAAATGTGCGACCTTTATGGATACGCCACACTGCCAAACACGGAAACTACTCCTTGTCGTTGTAAAATTTATGTTGCCTACTTTCTATTTTACCAACTGCATCAGAAACTGAAAGACAAAGTTGTGGCTCTCCAAAAAGAAATCAATGAGATGGCGTCGGTCTTGAAAAACAATGGACATCCAACTGGATACTTCAGGAACAGCGAAATTCTCCAAGACTTAATTCCCTCGGAGCGTAAGGTAAGCCATAATCTCAAGCACGTTGAATTCTCGTTTTTATCTCTATGTGAATGAGGTTGGGTTTTTTTGGTGGTTTTTTTGCTGTTGTTGATGAAGGTTTGTTGTTGTTGGGTTGTTGTTGTTTTTTGTCTTTGTTGTTGCTTTGATCTCTTTTATTGTTTTCTTTTCTGTTAT